TCGTTGGCTATTAAGGAAATTATTTTGGCCTTTGGTTATTTTCTAAGTCATTGTATGGTGCTTCATTTTGGTTCTCATGGATTTAATTCAAAATATGATTCGTTGATTCGTTGGTTTATTTTTTTGGTTTTATTTATTATGAAATTTAATCACGACAAAAGTTATGGTTAAAATCAGAAATAACAAAATTGGTTTTGCATTATAACATTTATTTGTTTTGTACTCAATTATATTTCTCATTATTGATATTTTTGTCATGATATTAGTTTTGAATATAGTATTCAGTTAATTATGGATATTTGGTTTTGATTTCTTGTATTATGTTTTGGTTTAATTTAGTGCATCCATGATTAATAAATTTTTGAGAAATAGTCACAGATTCATGGTTTCGATTTCTAATAACGTCATTTAGACAATCTTATTATAGGTTACTTTGGAAACCATGTCGTGGTTAGAAAATTCAACTTTGGTTTTTGGCTATGGATTATAGAATATATATTTGGCATTAATATATTCGATTTAGTTGGATTAAAAAAATAGTGTTTTTTAATCTTTGGAAAAGTTTTAATTAATTAGTATGCACTTTTGACATTTGGTTAAATATTTGATTATTTTTAATTCGGATTATTTTTTAGTGATTTATGAAGTCATGAATTAAATGCATATTTAAGGAATTCTTCAGAAACAATCAAAGACTTGAGTTTTCGATTTTTGATAGCACCATTTATGCAACCTTATTTTGGGTTATTTTGTATATTGTAGTGCAATCAGAAATTTCAGTTTTTAACATTTGATTGTTATAGAAATATTAAATTTGAATATTAATATTTATTTTAAGACAGCTTAATTAAAGCAATAAGTCGTTAAAGTGGTCTCCGTTATGAAAAATATTTGATTTTTCAAATATAAAGGTTATGTACATGTAACTTATGATATGTTAGTATTGATCGACCCAAAGGAAGATTAATAGTTGACATAATTGCATGTACAACTTTGGTAATAAGCATATGATAATTATTCGGTTTGATGTGTGAGTAATAAATCAGCCCAAAGGAATATTTTTGCTTGACATGTTCTTATTATAAGTGTTTGGTTACCGCATCAGATATCACTTAAGGTGAATATTTTATCAAATGATGAAATATTAATGGAATATCTGATATCTTGAGATAAGGTTTAAGGTTATTCAAATTTAATATTATTTTGGTTATCTTTTAATTAAAAGATAAAATCAATAAAAATTGATTAATTGACAATATTTATATGGTTTTATTTATATTGTTAATGCACTATATTTATATATTCAATTAAATTTTTCAGTTTTGACTGTTAATTATTAGAATATATATATATTTTGAAACAAATTAATTCATATTTTGGCTAAGTATGATATTTTAGTAGATTTGTTGAAACAAAATGCCGTCAATGTGACTTTTTTTGTGTAGACTGATTTATTTAAAATATCAACTTGATTATGTGTTTCTTGTTATTCATGCATTTATTAATTGGCCCAAAGGAAAGATAACGTTTGGTCGAATTTCAAGCGACACTTGTGATAATAAAATTTGATAATAATAAGGTATTTTTTATATGAGCATTACAATAGTCAAAATATTAATCTTTTGTTCGACATAAATTATTGTAAGTGTTTGATTAATACAACAAGAGTGCAACACCCTAGTCTAGTTAGACTCGAAGATCCATAGTTACAATGTTACACGGGACTACCAAAATAGTGACCCAAAAATTTTCTTTTAAAACTGTTTGTAAATCTCTTAAATTTAGGCATCCATAAAGTAATATAAAAACATACTAATAATAATATGGGTTTACAAATAATGGGGAGCTCCCAAAATACATCCGCTAAATAATTCCAAATACGGAGTTTCAAAATAGTTATGACTGAATACATAACAAGGTCCATAACAGTACATGCCCTCTAAAGATGACTCAAGACGTACTCTGAGAGGTCTCTGAAAATAAGCTCTGATGCACTGGAATATCTGATGACAATAGCTCTCCACATTCTGCCCCTAAGAACCTGCACACGGAAACACATTCCAAACGCTGAGCTTACGAGCTCAATGCCTCACTGAAAATTGTAATATACTATCACTAGATGAAGTGACAAGTGGCACAAGTATGAGTGTACAACTACTGGACTGCTAATATGTGGCCGACATCATGGTGCGGCTGAGGGCTTCTGCATCTCAGAGCGCACGCGCCCTCTAGCACTGCTGAAGCACTATCGGGTACTCCTGGGTGAGATATGGAATTCTGCATTGGAACGTACACCCACCGACTTACTCCGTCGAGTCTTGGGGCATTTGCGCACAGTTGGTTGCTATAGTGTCGTGGAACTGACTTGGATCCACTGACTGTCGTATTTCTGCTAAAAGGAACTCGAGTGTACTAATTGTTTCCCGAGTGTCAACCAAAGCTAGTTTTATGTAAACATAGTTATTTTTGTTTCTATTGTTCTGCTATTAATTATTGTTCTTGCTTGAAGTCTTATTTGAGGATATACTGAAGTGTTGGGGTACCTCAAGTCTAATTCCCTTAAAAACTGGCATTTTTGTCCAAACCAGACTGAAAGTATCGATACTATCCCAAGAGTATTGATACTCCTGCAAAGTATTTTCGATACTTTATATAAGTACTGATACTTTTAAACATTATGTTTTGTCTAGTTTCGAAACTTTCTAGGAGTTTGAAACTATTACCCAAAGTATCGATACTCTTGAAAGAGTATAATTACTCTTGCCCAGAAACTCACGAGTTTGTCCGAGAATAAGAACAAGTTTCGATACTATCCCTCTAGTATCGAAACTCATTCTGAAGTGAGCATAAAATAGGTGAAAAACTCATATTATACTATCTCAAAGACCTTAGTGAGGTCCCCAAACATTATTAATGTTTTATGAAGGTACAAAGGAGCATAAATAGGGCTTTAAACATGTTTATAACTCTAAAACATGAAATCTACCATGTGGATGCTTCAAGCTTATGCAACCTACTACATTCATCTAAATGACTTGCATATGTATAGTTGAGTAAAGAGTGAGTTACCTTTGATGCTAAACTGCTGAAAACACTCAATGCTAAACCAAGGGTGAGTTTCACCTTCGTTTTAGCTTTGGAGCTTTCTCCAACCTCTTACACTAAACAAAACCAAATGCAAGGGTTACTAACTGTTGCTAGGGATTGAGGAGGGGGTTTAAAACACTTCCTAAGGATAAAAATATTTGAAAAATAGGTTGGAACCATCTAGTTTCCTAAACCCTTCTAAAACCCATTTTTATAGCCATGGCCAAAATTGGAACTTAAAGTCTCAAATGAAAGCTCAAGAGGTGTTGATTTTGGTTTTTACCTTGGTTTGATGAAATAGATTGAAACTAAACCAAAGCCTCCACCTTTGCTCATGAGAAGGAGGAAGAGGAGGAAGAAGACTTGGGAGAAGAAGACAAATGTGAAGAAAAAGAAAAGCTGGAAATTCAGACGGTGATATCACCAATTTTTAATGGAAATCAACTTTATTTTTTAACAAGGGTATAATTGCATTTTTGGTCCATCCAATTCTGACTACAAATTAAAAACACCCTTTTTATTTCACTATTGGGCTCAACTCAAGCCCAAATCCTCTTCAATTTGGGTCAAGGCTTCCTACAAGCCAATGAATTAAACCAATGTCCATCTAAGGTTAGCCCAATACTTCTAACCCGAGATTCGGGGTGTTACAAAGAGTATCATTTATTGTTAATATTATTGTCCAAAGACTTGATATTGATGTTGTGCTTGGTATCTTGTGATGGGAATTAGTCATTATTTTGAATTTATTTGTTTACTTAAGATGTGAGCTTCAAATTTTATTTATACTTTGTTCAGCTAATTATTTATTTATTGCTACCATAATATATGTTATTATACATTTATTCAATATAATTAAAATATTTTAATTAAATATTATAAAGTTAAGTGTAATTTTATTCTTCAATCAACTTATAAATGATATTTTAGTTGGAGTATTACAATAGTAATATAAAAAAATTTAATTATTAACACGTACCACTGTTTCTATTTTCTACCAGATTAATAATCTGATATCTCGATATTCGTCTAAAATACATTAGTGAAAATGGCATTTAAGTTTGTTGACCATCTATTCAACGGCGAAAAATATTTACTTTAACATGTTAAAATTATAATTTTAATAATGACTTATTTACTCGTCAAATAAGAAATGAAATTACCTAACTATGAGCATGAAGACGAATGACTCATGAACATATAAAAGACATGTAACACTACACCCAGGGATAGATCGAGGAGGGGCGGGTGGGGAAGTTGTCCCCCTAAAAATTTTAAAAAATTTTAATATATTTTCTATTGTAAATTTGTTTTCGTCCCCGGAATTTTATAAATTCAAATTTATTTCTCTAAAATTTCAAAAATTCAACTTCACCCGTTAATAAAAAAATCATGTATCCGTCCGTGACTACTTCCACGATAATGCATTTCTTGGATCAACCGCCCTATATATTCCTCTTAAAAAATGACAAAACTGTTGTTCCTCAACTCAACATAGTTGTTTCTCTCAAATCTACAAGGTAAAGCAACAATATTACATGTATTTGGTTGTGAGATTTATCCTACTTAAAAATCCTCTGTAATAATATCAGTGTCACATACTAATATCAAAATGTGTAATTAAAATTTACTATCCACTTAAATAATATAATAAAATAGAAGAATTCTAACTGTAAGTCTGTAACTTGTTGATAAAAATTAAAAAGAGGAATAAAGCAATGCAATTTCTGTTAAAAATATGCATCAGCGCACATGCAAAAGCTACGACCTCACTGAGAAAGAAAAATCCTCATAAGAAGACAAACATAGTAATACATTTTACAATATATCAAACGTGGGGTTTATCAAAACCACTACTTCGTCTTGACAATATGTGTTTGCTACCCAATATTAATATAATTAAGCTACAATTATTTCCTGTGTTAGAAAATTCAATACTCGATTAGAGTTTAATTTCATAGGTTTAGTTTTAAAGTTAAAAGGTTTAATGGAGTGTAGGGTATCGTGGTGGCATGGTGGCAAAACTCCCTTAAAGATCCAATAGTTTGGCCCAAAGAGCTACGGATTCGGATCTTAACGCTTCATTTTCTCGCCAAACACTGTGATACTGATTTATGACCCAACTGAGTCGGTTTTTAATCTGCTGGTTCTCTATGCTCAACCGGTTAACTTCGTCCGTGATGTTCTCCAAGTGCACCCTTTTTCGCCGACGGGACCGCCTCGCAGATTCCCGATTTGATACCATCCGTCTTTTCTTCCTCTCATCTGCCGAATACACCGCCCGAGTCGAACCTTCCGGACCATAGTTTGGATTAATCGGTTCATTAGATTCAAGAAAAGATACCACCTGAGCCGAGCCTTCTGAACCGGAGTTTGGATTAACCGGTTCTTTTGATTCAAGAAAAGATAACAACTCCTCGAGCTCTTCGCGTGTGAAGCTGATTTCTTGAACCGGTAACTCGAACTGATCAGCTTCTTCAGACAAGAACATTGGGTCAATTAGACCAAACCGAACAAGAGAAGAACAAAAACGATTTAAAGTAAAAAAAAAAAAAGCCAAAGGAAATAACTGGTTTTGGATCAACAGTAGTAAGGAGGTGAGAGAAGTGGGGAAAAGGGAGGGAAAGAAGAGGAGGGAAAGGGTATTTAATGGGAAGGGGCAAGTGTCGTGTGGGGTCCTCTTGTTAACAAAAGATTTTGGGAAGATACTTTTTCAAAATCAAAAGGACAAATATATATATATATATATAAAGCAATGGTTAAAAATACAATTTCCTATGTGTGATACTTCAATCTTTTTGAAGAAGATTAGGTTTACCTTAATCACCAAGTATCAAACAACAACGGATGAAAAAATTGCTGGAGAAGTTATACATATGTTTATTAGAGAGAGAAATACCATAAATCATGATGGATATGTTGGAGAGAAACACATACTTTTTTGGGTAAACTACTTATTTAATCACTCATGTATTCTTGTGGTTTTATTTTGGTCACTCAATTAACGTTACATGTTGTTTTTGTTTTGATAATATGCCGTTAAAAGATTATCAAGATTCTGGCATTATATTTTTAATCGATTTAGTTCGATCAATAAGGTAGTAACATATGTTATCGTCTTATTGGCAAGAATAAAATGATTAAAAGTACAATTGATGATAATGAAAGAGAAAATGGTGTGAATATATATATATATATCTATCATGTCAGTATCAAAGTTAATTTTTTAACAAGTGAACAAAATATAACTCAAACATAACATTATATATGATTTTTAAAAAAAGTAGTTAGATGACCAAAAATAGAAACACGAATAGGTGGGTTATCAGGCGTTTTTCTCGAAAAATCATCGGTGACCAGTATATTTACCGATCTAATACCGGTCAGATTATATTTCCCGATCTAACACCCGTAGCAGTAAAGCGCGTCCCTGCCCCGCGCTATATGCTGATTTGGCACCACGTGGGGTATAGCGTGCCCCTTGTACCGCGCTATATGCTAACATGGCTTACACGTAGGTATAACGCCCCCCTGTTCCACGCTATACGTCACGTAGGGGTATAGCGCCGCCCATGATCAGCGTTATACCTGGTAAGAATTATATTTAGCACGGACCCTTTTATCTGAATAATTACATATAGCATGGTGCAGGTACTGCGCCTTATAGGGTTATAAATACCCTTCCCCCGCTTAAGTTTCTCACATCTCCTCACATCTCTCCTCTAAACTTATAAATTAATACAACAATTCCGTCAACGAGTAATAATTCTGATAATTTTCTCATATTTGATTTAGAAGTTCTTGCGATTTTTCGTTATAAATTTTTTTTATTATACTTATTGTTTATTATGATTATTTGAAAAATATTATACTAATTATTTTCAATTAATTTTTGAAAAGCATGAGCATACGTCAAAATAGTTTTGCAGTGTAGGTAATAATAAAAAATTATATTATTTAAATTATTTACGTTGATGTGTAAAAAATTTATTATATTATATTTTCGTTCATATATAATTTATTTAATCATGTTTGTTTTAGTTATTTTTTTGCAGATATAATATTGCCGTACTTTTAAACTCAAAGAATAACGCGACTTTCAGCTATTGTTTATTATGATGGTGAAATTCGAGAAGATGAAACCGGCGTTGTTTTCATATCAAATGAGCGTGTTAAAATATCATTCAAGAGAAACATAACTCTTGAGAAGCTGATAACGAAGATTTCGAGGAAGATTCATGTTGGAAGTAGTAGAAGAATGTCGTCGTTGCAGTACAGATTTCCAACATCATTGTTGTCATTAACTTATATAGTGTTCGAACTTTCGAACAATGATGGTTGAAGCTCAAAGTAATTATTCAGAAGCCGCTATTGAGATGTATGCACATTTTGTTCAAGTGCGTGCTGTTCGGGGTCAATCATTAAGCTCCCACTATGGGCTGGTTGAACAAGTTGATCAAGTTGACATCCCACTACAGTAATGTGTAATGATTTTAATGCCATAATGGGGAGACATTCATCCGTAACTCCTTACGATATGTACCGAGGTGGGTCCACGAACAATCCGTATGGCAACACCGCGTCCAGTTCAAGGGGAAGGCATTCATCTGAAAATTTCTTTGACCATATGGAGATGCCATCGACGCAACCATCTGTGCAGTTTTCATTTGACACGATGACTTTAAGCTCCAGAGGGAGGCATTTGACCGCGAGCTTTTTCGACGTCAATGTCGATATGCCTTCCACTTCAAGGGGAAGGCGTGCAAGTAGTAGGTTCTTCGGCCTAAATGTGGAGAGCATGGAGGAACCATCATCTCCACCAAAAGAACCGCTTCATGAGCCTGGTGCGGATGGTGCTGAGACTGGACTATTCATTCACCTAGAATCACCACAATTCAACTCCGATGATGATGAAGTTCCAGGAAATGTGGCACAAACTGACCCTCCTGCACACATGTATGAAGCTGATTATAGTGCAATGCACGGGCCAGAATTTGCAGATATGCCTCATCTCGGTGACTATGGATATTACTCTTCAATAAATAATGGTGAGTTATATTTAGGCATGAAGTTTTCAAGCAAATAAGAAGCGATGATGGCTATAAAAAATTATAATATTCGTAATTCTGTTCAGTCCAGAGTTAATCGATCGACGACCGAAAAATATGTATGCTATTGTGCCCGACGCAAAAACGGATGCAATTGGATGGTTCGCGTATCGAAAATGAAGAGGAAAAACAACATATGGGAACTAACAGTATACAACGGTCCTCACACATGTTGTGCTGGAGGGGTCAACCAAGATCATCCCAACTTGGACTCTGAAATGATATGCCAAACCATTATGCCCATGGTAAAAACAAGCTCTCATATAGCTGTTGCTGTGTTGATTTCAACTATACAATCGCAGTATGGGTACACTATCTTCTATAAAAAAGCTTGGTTGGCAAAACAAAATGCCATTGTCAAACTTCATGGCGAATGTGATGCATCTTACAAAGAACTTTCAGGTTGGTTTAGGCTGGTACGGACGTTAAATCTTGGGATAATTGTGGACTTCGAAAGCTCCTATGCATACCATAATGATCGAGTTCTTCGCGATCGAAGCCAATTCTACCAGGTTTTTTGGAGTTACCCACAGTGCGTTAATGCTGCCAAATACTGCAAGCCTGTGGTCCAGATCGATGGGACTTTCTTGTATGGAAAATACAAGTAAGTTTTATTATTGACAGTTGTCCAAGATGACAATCGCAACATTCTTCCAGTTCCTTTTGCTCTTGTCGAATGAGAAGATACAGATTCTTGGGCTTTTTTCCTCCGAAATATACGTGCACATGTTATCACGAGGGAAAACATATGTGTCATTTCAGATCGCGAAGCTGGGATCAAAGCAGCAATGGAGTCTTTGGGTCCAATGTGGCAACCACCCTTTGTCCAACATAGGTATTGTCTCCGACACATTGCTGCGAACTATCATGGAAGGTACAAGAAGAATGATGAACGTCAATTAATTGTGTGCATGGGTAAGTGAAATTGATGTAGTTTGTTTTCTTTCAATCGTTTTAATTTTGCAAAGAAAGTAAGTCAGTAAGTTATACATTTTTTGATCAGGTTACGAACTACTTCCTCGAACGTTTGAATCAAAGCTTCAAGATTTGCGGGCGAAGAACGAGGAATGATACGATTACATCAACCTCATCGATAAAGAAATGTGGACAAACGCATATGATGGTGGATATCGATATGAACACATGACGACCAACTTGGATGAGGCAATCAATTCAACCTTAAAGGGTGCACGTCACTTACCTGTAGCGGCTTTGGTAAAAACTACATATTTTCGTTTGGGGGCGCTTTTTGCGAAGCTCGGGGGACAAGCTCAAACCTGGATGCAAGGAAATCATGTCTATCACCCTAGATTAGTTGCAGGTCTACAGAAAAAAAAATTGCCGCATCAAATGGAATGTCTGTAACAAGCTTCTCTAGAAGGCATGAAATGTTTCGTGTCACAGAGTTACCGCGACCTCTTCAAGGGATTGAAGTTGTGTCGTTAAGAGTAAATCTAAGGGACAGAACGTGCGAATGCGGGTTTTTTCAAGCTCTGAAGTATCCATGCTCTCATGTGATAGTATCTTGCTCGCATACACGTCAAGACTATAACCATTTTGTGTATCCCGTATACCTACTATCTGAAGTTTTTAAGGTATACGAATTTAAGTTTCCCCCCATATGTAATGACAAAGACCCTGATGAGGTTCAAGATTGACTTCCAATTATACCAAATTCGATTTTATTGAGGGAGCGTGGTCGTCCAAAATCCAATTGAATTCTTTGCGATATGGATATTCGAGAAAGATCTAGACAAGACAGAAGATGTGGCCATTGTAGAAACCCAGGACACACTAGAAAAATATGTCCACTTCTGCTGTCATCAAGTAACAATTGATGAGGAAATGATGTATTTGTTTATCAAATAATAATTATTGTACTTTAATTTGCATTTACTTCAAGTTAATGTTTTTCGATAATCGCTGATGAAGATTAAAAAAAGGAACACAATCATTAAATTTTATCAAACTAATAACAGTTTAGTATTTAAATACAACAAACTTACAATAAGAATTAAATGGTAAATGATAACCAAATTACAATAACTGATATTAAATGGTAATAAATAAAATTAACTGAAATACATTAAAAAAAGTCCAACAAATTTAACAAAATAAAGTAAGTATTAAATGAGAAATAATAAAAAATTACAATTTAACAAAATAAAGTAAATACAAATATAATAAAAAAAAATCTATCGATGCCTGCGTCGCGAATGTGTTCCGCAGGGCGGTGGCTGTCGGTCTCGAGGAGGATTTCTTCGTATCACTGGTTCTGACTTCTCGCTGTCATCATCATCGTCGTCGTTATCATCGTCGTTGTCGTCGTCGTCGTCATCGTCGTCGTCCTGAGCAGGTACATTAGGTTGATGAGGAGCTAATGACGATGAAGCACCTCCATAGAATAAGGACCCTGGAGGTATATGACTAACTATCCCACCAGCCTGCGAAAACTCATAAAACCCAGACATCGCTGAGTGTGAAAACTGTA